CCTCATTCAATGAACCCATTATTTTCTTAATGACCAATGCATGATGTTACAAAATCATACGTAGATAAAGATTCATTCAAAGCAAAAGACCAATGGTTTTAATGTAATATAATACAAAAAGTTCACTGATACGATTTCAGATTCTACATTGCAACTAACCTTTGAAGAATCACCACTGGGTAGGCATGGTGGCTGATGCTTGTAATCACAGCACTTTGGGGGAGCTACAGTGCCTGTAATCTCAGCACTTTGGGGGGGCTACAGTGAGCAGATCGTTTGAGCCCAGGAGTTTAAGACCAGCCTGGGCAACATGGTGAAACCCTCTCTACAAAAAATAGAGAAATTAGCTGGGTACAGTGGCACGCATCTGTAGTCCCAGATACTGAAGAAGCTGAGGTGGGAGGATCACCTGCACCTGAGGAGGTAAAGGTTACAGTGAGCTGTGATTGCACCACTACACTCCAGCCTGGGCAACAGAGGAAGACCCTGTCTCAAAAACAAAGAACAACAACAAAACACATACCACTTACCAAGTTTTGGTGTAGTATTAAAGAAAAATAAATTATATGGGAAAATTAAAATACTCTTCCTTTTTGTAATTACTTTTCTAACTACATATCTGCCTGAGGCTGCATTTTCTTCATATATTTCAAAGAAAACATTGTAACAGACTGAATGCAGAAGTAGATATGAGAATCCAGCTGTCATCTATTAAGCCAAGTATTAAAGAGATTTGCAAAAATGTTAACGCTATTCTTTATACTAATTATCTTTGGATGAAGAAAAAATAGTTATTTTTCATCAAAAAATGTTATTTATGCTACCATATAATTGGTTTATTTTTACTTTTAAATGAATTTATAACCATTTTAAATATTTCTCAGTTTTAATTTCTAATATGGTATAAATAGACATAACCCACAATAACAAACCCTTTTAGAAGTACCTCAATAATTTAAGAATGTAAAAAGAGGTCTGGAGACCAAAGAGTTTGAGCTGCTTCTCTACCATACTCCAATACTAAATACCAATTAAAGCTGCTTCACTCCAAAAGTCAGGCTATTCCTAAAACTATTCTCCTAGTGCTAATTATCTATGAAAGAATAATCTACAAAAGGTGAGCCATGACTACACCACTGCACTCCAGCCTGGGCGACAGAGTCAGATCCTGTCTCCAAAAAGAGACAGGATGAAAGATGTGAAGAATATTGAATTTAGGGAGATGTTTCTTATAAACCAATAGGGGGACAGTAAGGAAACACTAAATAAACATGAAGGGGAACAAAATCTTACATAAAAGTATACTTTTAACATATTTGCTCACTATCACATTAACTAGCTTTTTACCTCGCATAAATGTGTAAAGGCCCAAACTTTTATTCTCTGTAAGGTCATTTTACAGAGGTACCTAATTAAGTGATTCCTTGACCTGGTTTTCTGTTGACTTGTAGCACAGAACTGAAATAATGTAGCAGGCTTTTAGAGAACAAAAAGAAGCCATTTACCTATTCATTCTTGCTGGCACACTCACCAGGGTGCTAATCCAGACCAATATATATCACCAAAGTAGCTACTGAAAACTAAAAATGGGATGATTTTCAACACGCAACAACTGAGAATTGGGCCAGCAAGGCAAGAACATAAGGTACTTATTTTTCACGATCAAACCAATGCTTTTTTTAAAAGCTACTATCTCAGTTCACATTACCTGTAAAGCTTCAGAACTTTTCTCCCCTTATACATAAAAATACATTTAATCCCCAAGGACTTAACATTAGGACTGATTGAATCTAGAGTACCAGTGATCCCACGTGGCTAAACAGTTGAATTTGACAGTTGAATTAGCCTGAATTTATTACAGTTTCTGTGAGTTTCATAGATGAAGAAGGAGGCCAAACTGGAGATGGTTAATAAGGTAAGAAGTTGGAAGGAGACAAACTAGGAAATGTTGGTCTGGTAGGAGTTTTGGAAACAAATTTCTCCTAGGCTATAAAAGCAGTAACTTTAATAAGAGAGAAGTATTTCATGTCATCAATTTCCCGGTATTGCTGAGGAACACCAGGCACTGTGGCACGTGGCACTTCGTAGTCTCCACCCACCTCCATAAAGTCAGTTGGGTCATTTACAAAATACTGAAAAAGGGCCAGTCACCATAGTTCCAGGCTAGGTTCTGCTATTGGCTAAACTCTGCAGTTAAGAGAGGAAAGTATACACCTCAGAGCAGAAGTCAACAATAGAGATGAATATATTTTGCAAAATTATATTAGCAAAAATATATTTTGCTAATGCTCAACCTCTCAAAGACAGACTCCAATCTTGTTTAAGAACCTTTAAGAGTATAAAAAAACGAGGGAAAATGTTACTCTCAAATTACTACAGAGGTTTACATAGAAAAGAGTAGAATAAAGTTCATAGAAAAAGCCAGTTACAGTGGCTCACACCTGTAATCCCAGCACTTTGGGAGGCTGAGGCGGGTGAGTCACCTGAGGTCAGGAGTTCAAAACCAGCCTGACCAACATGGAGAAATCCCATTTCTACTAAAACACAAAAATTAGCTGGGGATGGTGGCATGCGCCTGTAATCTCAGCTACTTGGGAGGCTAAGGCAATAGAATTGCTTGAACCCAGGAGGTGGAGTTTGCAGTGAGCGAGATCATGCCATTGCTCTCCAGCCTGGGCAACAAGAGTGAAACTCCATTTCAAAAATAATAAAGTACATGCAAAGGAGAGACTGATGACCAGTCAATTAATCCTATTAACTGAATTCATGTCTAGTGTTTGTGTTTGCAAAGCACAGAAGTGAAAATAATTACCAGTCCTGGTGTCATTTCTAGTCATATTCTTAAGACTGGTATTAAAGGATAAAACATACATTTCCCTTAATAAAATGCTTGCGATTATTGCCAAAGGGGTGGGGGCAAAGAAGTCAAATGAAACAAAAATAGTGATGAATTTATGATTACTGCAGCTGAATGATGTGTATATGAGTGCACTGTACTCTTCTCTCTGCATAGGCTTGAGATTTTCCACAATAAAACATGAAAATATATTTTGCTAATGCTCAACCTCTCAAAGACAGACTCCAATCTCGTTTAACAACCTTTAAGAGTATAAAAAAACGAGGGAAAATGTTACTCTCAAATTACTACAGAGGTTTACATTAAAAATAAAAAGAATGTTCAATGTTCCTGAATTGTCTATACAAAAACTAAAGATTAAGGACATACTCTAAGTGCTTCAATACAGTATATAATTAAAATCAATGGTTCAACAACTTGCAAAATGTTATGTAGCTAGTAAAATGATCATTAGGAATCTGAGAAATTAACATGGGAGAATGTTTAATTCATTTAGTGAAATAAGAAAATAGAAACTTATTTTATCATTCTAACTATATAAAACATATATATGAGACATGAACTAGTTAGAAAGGAATATAACCAGACGGCCATGTTGGTTCACGCCTATAATCTCAGCACTTTGAGAGGCTGAGGCAGGTGGATCACCTGAGGTCAGGAGTTCAAGACCAGCCTGGCCAATGTGGCAAAACCCCATCTCTACTGAAAATACAAAAATTAGCCAGGCATGGTGGCAACCACCTGTAATTCCAGCTACTTGGGAGGCTGAGGCACAAGAATCACTTGAACCCAGTAAGGAGGTTGCAGTGAGTCCAGATTGCACCACTGCACTCCAGCCTGGGTGACATAGTAAGACACTGTCTCAAAAGAAAAAGGAATATAACCATGGGTTCTGGTGGTAGAATTATAAATGAGAATTTGTAAAAACTTGTTATAATACTACTTTATGAGAAATTACACAAATACAAAAGATACACACATAGCCATGCTACTCCCCAACTAGTACACACAGAAGCAACTCATCAGCGTTGTCTACAACACCAGGCCACAGAGAACATCAGGGAGACTCTGCTAGGCACCACGGAGAGCCCAGCAGGACCAGGAAAAGGACCACACTGCTACTAGCTATGTGGTATACAATGAAGGCCAAACCCCCAATACAGAACAGAGCTGCTTTCATAAGCCTCATTTGTTATTCATTAGCACTGGCTAAAATACTAGACAAGCACTTTTTCAATTCATTAAAAACTCTGTGGGAAAACCAATAAAATAAAATATAATCAAGAAAACAACAGCAAAAGTTCATCAATGTTTAGGTCTAAGTCATAAAGTTGTAATGCCCACAAAGAAAAAACTGGCATGCCTTTAAGATAAATGGAGTTACCTTTCTCTTTCTTTTGACATTTCTGCACAACTAGTTTTTTTGTTTTACTTTTTAATTTTGAAAAGCATTTTCCATACATGGCCCTAATGAAGCTTGAAATTAATACAGCCTTTTCAATTCCTTCTCTGTGCATCAGCATAAAACAGAGTTTGGATCTAGGAAACATCACAAGGTAGAAGGACAATATTACAGAGGACCATTTTTTTGAAGCCTTGAAGCACTGTTTACATTTCCTCAGGATTGATGAAAACATGGCTGGCTTGTTGCTCTATCTTCTCTGCTTGAGCTGGACCCGAAATGGCCCGTAAATCATTAAACTGTCCATTAAATTCTTTTTCTGGTTAAAGATACAGGAGGGGGTGTGCAGGGCTGCTCCACCTACTATGGGATCAACATACTGCCTTAAAGAGACAGAACAGGGAAGGTAGGGAATTGCTTCTATCCAGAAAGATAAATTCATAAAGCATATATGCTATGTGAAGTAATGCTTATGTTAATTAGCTTGATTTAGCCATTCCACAATAGATATTTCAAAACATTATATTGTACACAATATATAATTTCTGTCAATGTTTTTAAAATTTTAAATGTGCAGATGACCATCTTACAATTTGCCTACACACACACACACACACACACACACACACACACAGTTTTCACTACATGCTACTTCCTAGAAAAGGAATTAAAAACCTGGAGTCCAAGAATTTATGTTTTAGTCTTGATTCCATTTACTTGCTGACTGAAAAATAAGACAATATCCAGCTCACAGGATTAAAGTTAATAGAAATGAAACTGCTCTGTATATTGGAGTACTCTGTAATTATTACTACTAAGTAAACAATAAAAGAAAGGAGACAAGATCTGGGAAAGAAAGAAATAATTTCTTGCAAAAACAAAAAAGGTTAAGTATGAATTTATTAGAGTTTACTTAATTGCCAGGACAGAGGGTTTTTTTTTTTTTAAACTCTTATTTCCTTGTACTTACCATGACAGGAGGCCCAGATTAGGAGGAGAAATCACCGTCCCTTCTTCAGTGTCCAACAAGGCTCTCTTCTTTCCCTTATGGTGAGGTCTTTAGAAAAAAAAAAAAAAAAAAAAAAGGAGGGGGGAGGCAAAATTGGCAATAGTTTTTCCCCTAATCAGCCATACCCTGATAAAGGTATTGTATATGCACAGGCCTAAGAAGCTGATCAGAGTCAGCAAGAAAAAGTTGAATAATACCCAGCCAATTCCCACTAGTCAAATCCTAATTTGACGATTTCTTCGTAAAAATCCTGTTAGTCTTAACCTGTTTCTGCCAAAACAGTATCAAAGGCTAACATTCCTAATGTTCACAGTAAAACAAAAAATATAAAACTTGGATGAATAAAGCAACAATTTCAAAAATCAACCTGCAAGCCAAGCAAGATAGCTTATGCCTATAATCCCAGCACTTTGGGAGGCTGAGGCAGATGGCCTGAGCTCAGGAGTTCGAGAACAACCTGAGTAACAGAGCGAAACCCTGTCTCTACCAAAAAGGAAAAAAAAAAAAGGAGAGGGGTGGGAAGGGAATAGCCGGGCATGGCAACACATGCCTATAAGTCCCAGTTACTCAGGAGGCTGAGGTGGGAGGATCGATTGAGCCTGGAAGGTTGGGGCTGTAGTGTTCTATGATTATACCACCGCACTCCAGCCTGGGCAATAGAGCAAGACCCTGTCTCCAAAAAATAGTCAACCTGCAAATGCGAAAGCATTATTCTTGTAGTATTTTAGAATGTTTTTGTGGTTATCTCTAAATTCAAAATGGATTCCCCATCTGAGGACACCAAACTGACTTATGAACAAAAATGAAAAACGTGTCTTATTACCCAAATATTAAATGTTCTTCTAAAAACTTATAATCTGTACTAATACCTTTACTTGGCTTTATAAGAACAAAAAAGGAAAGAAGAAAGTCCAACTAGAAACCCAAAGATGGGCTTATACAAAGAGTAAGTCGCTCTTTGAATAGTCTCATGCAAAACCAACATTTCTGTGTGCCAAACTTCTCTGAGAGGATATTTTAGGGAGTTTGGGTTTCAATGTGCAGCATAAAACTCTTTTAAGGGCAACGTAAGCAAGGGAACAGAACATCAGAGCAGCAGCAAGGCCTAGATCATGTTGAGGCATTTTGAGCAGAGGAGTGGCAGGAGATGACTTAAAGAATCATTCATTCTGGGTTAGGCGTGGTGGCTCATGCCTGTAATCTCTGCACTTTGGGAGGCCAAGGCAGGTGGATCACGAGGTCAGAAGTTCAAGACCAGCCTGGCCAACATAGTGAAACCCCGTCTCTACTAAAAATACAAAAAATTAGCCAGGCGTAGTGGTGTGTGCCTGCAACCCCAGCTACTTGGGAGACTGAGGCAGAAGAATGGCGTGAACCCACAGGTTGCAGTGAGCCTAGATCACGCCACTGCACTCCAGCCCAGATGACAGTGTAAGACTATCTCAANAAAAAAAAAAAAAAAAAAAAAAAAAAAAAAAAAAAAAAAAAAAAAAAAAAAAAAAAGAATAATTCTGGCTGTCGAGTAGGGAAGAGTCAAGGCGGTAAGGAGCAAAGGAAGACCACTTAGAAGGCACCAATAATGCCAGCAAAAGACAATATAGCACTGAAATGGTAGAGATGAAAGTGGTAGAACGTTACTGATTCTGGATATACTTTGTAAATACTGCCCATAGGATCTGAGCCAATGAATTAAATAGGAGAGAAAAGGAGAAGTCAAGCTTTTTGTTTCAGCAACTGGAAGCAAGAATTTTCTATTTACTGATGAGGGGCACTGTAAGAAAAATTGATTGTTCTTGTAACATGCACAGGCAGCTGCACGGAGGAGGAACAAGAAATTCAAGTTTCCATTTTAGACACATTACGTTTAAGAACCTATCAGATATCCAAACAAAGATGCCAAGTAAATTGCTAGTTAAACCAGACTGGAGATCTCGGGAAGATGGAGCCTAGAGATATAAACATAAATGTGGGAGACATCAGTGTGTGAATCGCTTTAAAGCCAAATGCAGGAGTAAGTATAAACGGAGAGGCCAAGATGACTAAGGACGGGGGTTTTGGGTAGGCCATTTTATAGGGGCTGGAAGGATGCGGAAGAACCTTATGGTTCAGTAACAAACCAAGCTATAGTCATCATTCTTACCACTCTTCCAACCAAACCAAACTCTTGTGATTTGGCCTAGCTCAAGAACTGAAACTAGTGTAAAATTATCTCATTTATTCATTGTTTTAAATAAATATTTATTCAATATTTACTATACTCCAGGCACTACTGTAGACTTTGGGGAGACAATTATGAACAAAAATTCATGGAATTTGATTTTATTGTTGGTCTTCCTCATTAGAAACAAAGAAAAAGATAACTAATGTTAAGCAGTAGGCAACTGCTGCAAAGAAAATAGAGCAGGGTTTGGTGAGGGGGGTAACAGAAGTGCTATTTTTAGATAGGAAGGTAAAAATGTGCAAAAAGGAACTTGCTGGAATTAAGGAGGGGGCAAGGGCAAAGAAATTATTCTTGAGGGTATGAACTTATTAAAAGAACTGGATAGTGTTGTTAAAAAAAAAAAAACCCTTTTCAAAAAAGAAACATACTGAATTACTTTTTAAAAACTGTCCTATTATGCAAAAGGTTTATTTGTGTTTTAGGATAAAATTTCTAATGATAGCATCATAGACACATTCAAACTGCTATATCTTAAACAATTTAAATGGAAGTGAATTTGACATATTTTACAAAACTATTAAACAAAATATAACTCCAGTGAGGAAGATACTAAATGTCAAATATAGGTGGAATGTTAAGGTGGAACCCCCCATAACACTGCTGGCATGGATATAAAGTATCCCACCTCTGAGGAAAAGTTTGCAGTTCCTAAAAAAGTTGTAGAGTCATCATATGTCCCATTAGTTCCACTCCTGGGTACATACCTAAGAGAATTGATTCTCCTGCCTCTGCCTCCTGAGTAGCTGGGACTACAGGCACGAGCCACCACGTCCAGATAACTGTTGTATTTTTAGTAGAGATGGGGTTTCACCATGTTGGCCAGGATGGTCTCGGCTTCCCAAATGGCTGGGATTACAGGCGTGAGCCACTGCGCCTGCGCCCCATCCCTGCCCCTTTTTTTTGAGACACAGTCTCACTCTATCACTCAGGCTGGAGTGCAATGGTGGGATCTCAGCTCACTGTAACCTCCGCCTCCAGGGTTCAAGCAATTTTTGTGCCTCAGCCTCCCAAGTAGCAGGGATTACCGGCATGTGCTACCACACCCAGCTAATTTTTCTATTTTTCATGGAGATGGGGTTTTACCATGTTGGCCAGGCTGGTCTCAAATTTCTGGTCTCAAGTGATCTGCCTGCCTCAGCCTCCCAAAGTGCTGGGATAACAGTAGTGAGCCACCACACCTGGCCTACTCTAATTTTTTAACGAGTATAGAAATATCAAGACAAAGATTTGCCACTTAGCATTAAAAGTCTCAGTCAATTTAAACATAGTCTTCACCCAGAAAGGCCTTCCATTTCTATACCAAATAGAAATTATACCAAATGTTGTTCAGCACTTCAGTCAAAATTTACCAGTAACTGGGCAGGCATGGTAGCTCATGCTTGTAAACCCAGCACTTTGGAAGGCCAAGGCGGGTGGATCATCTGAGGTCAGGAGTTTGAGACTAGTCTGGCCAACATGGTGAAACTCTATTAAAAATATAAAAATTAGCCGGGTGTGGTTGCAGCCACCTATAATCCTAGCTACTCACCTATAATCCTAGCTATTCAGGTTGAGGCATGAGAATTGCTTGAACCTGGGAGGTGGCATTACAGCAAGCCAAGATCGCACACTGCACTCCAGCCTGGGCGAGAGAGTGAGACTTGGTCTCAAAAAAAAAAAAAAAATTTTACCAATAATCTACTGTGTTCAACAGTATGACACTGTTAGTTCTGCATCAATACAACTTATATATCATTGCAGAAGACAGAAAAAGATGGTAATAATTACAAATTGTGCAAAATGTGATAAAGGAAGCAAATGGGATGCTGAGACGGAGAATGGGGTTTGGGGGTACAGAAGACCTACTTTAGATCAAGTGGTCAGAAAATACTACTCTGTGGGACAAGGCCAGTTTCTAATACAGGGGACTGCATGTGTTCTTCAGACAGAAAAGACCTTGATAAATTTGAAGAACGAAAAGGAGAAAACCATTGCAGCTAAACTGTACTGAATCAGAGGGAAGAGTGGCACAACTTGAAGTTGGAGAAATGCACAAGGAAAAATCATGAGAATAGTAGTAAGTTTAAAATACAGTCTAAATACAACAGGGAGCCACTGACAGGTTTTTTAATAGCAGAGTGGCATGATTTGATTTTAAGATCACCCTGGTTGCTGTGGGGTGAACAGATTAAAAGAGAAAAAGGATAAAGAAGAGAACCAGGAAACAAGTACAGTAAGAGACTAGTGGCTTGACTTAGAATGGAAGCAGTAAAGATAAAAACCTAAGTATGTGAAAGATATCCTAGTGTATATAACTCACAGGTCTAGGTAGAGGCCTAGATGTTGTAGCAAAGGGAGACTAAATTTATAGCCTAGAGGAGATAAGAAATAATTAAATAGTTCAAATAAGAGGTGCTACTTTAAGTATCTGAGAGAAGTTAAAACTGCTATAGGAATTCCAAATCTGTAAGAAAAAGCCAAGATCACAGTTAATTGTGCAACCAATCAGAATCAAGTATTTGCTGAAGGTTCCTTTTAAAACTAGAAAGAGCATTAGACCAGTCTAGGTATTGTTTAAAACACACACACACACACACACACACACACACACACACACACACTCTCACTCACTCTACAAACAGCAGATATGACCAATCCTTAGGAAATATTCAGGGTTCATTATAGAACCTGACTTGCAAAATATGGGCCCTACAGTGGTAGTTATACTAACAGCACAAAAATAAGAAATCAAGTCATTACTGTTAGTCTGATAAGCAGTGTAATACTTCTTTAGTTATAATAGTAACGCATGCTCCTAATAAATTTTTAAGATACAGGCGTAAAAAGT